GCCTGCAGGCCCTCGTTTTTCAGCATCCAGGCTGAAACGAACGGGGCCTGTAAGCCCTAAGTTTTAGGCTTTCAGGCTGAATGTCCGGGACGGGCTCTGAAGGGCCCGTGTGGCTACGCAGTATGCCACACCCCCCTTCCTTGAAGAACCGAGCTTACCTGCGAGGGCGAAGTTGTCTGTCTGAGGGAGGGACCACAGTCCGGGTGGGAGGGGCTGGTCGTGAAGCTTCCTGAGCTAACCTGCGCTTTTCATAATGCGTGTAAATCAGCGGTGCGGATGCTTTCAAATCTGCACCTGAAATCCACTGAGTGTTGTCGCGATCGCATGCTTTGAATGTGACTTTGTACTGCCGCGGCTTGCTGCCATACTTGCGATCGGAGATGACGCGGTCAACTTCCTAATGGCCATCCATAGAAGGAGGGTCTTGCGATCGTCGGTCCGGAAAGTAGTCGCTCTTGGCTGGCGTGTATGTTGCCAGCTTCGAGGCGTGGAAGACCGGATGGACCATCAGATGCTCTGGAATGTTGATCACAAATGAAGGGCCATCGGGCTCATCGCCCGTGGCTGCTGTCACAAACCAAGGTCCAAACCACTTGGGAAGCAGTTTGCGTGAAACATCCTGTTCCAGTGCAAACTCTTCCGCAGAGACCCAAACCAGATCACCGGCGCGGATGGGACATGGTACGCGACGCCTGTTGGCTTGCTGCTGCATGAGGACTTGAGCCTTTTGCATATTTGCGCGGGCTTGAGTCAACAATTCCCTATACTTCCGGACGGAAGCGGGAGAGCAGGCAACGTCAATGTCGGCTGGTCGAGGGAGGAGAAGGTCTGCGAAGATCTGGTCTTTCCGTCCACCGTGGTGCAGCTCGAATGGAGTCACGCCGATCGCCGGATGCACCGAAGTGTTGTAGGCGAACTCGATGTCGGGGAGGCGGTCAACCCAATCTTTCTGGTCCGGACGGATGAGCGTACGAAGCATCATTTGAGCGGTTTGATGTGCCCGCTCCGTCTGCCCGTCTGTCTGAGGGTGTCGAGCCGAACTTGGTTTCATTGTTGTGCCGGACTCCTGCATGAGAGCAGTCCAAAAAGATGACATGAAACGAGTGTCGCGGTCGCTGACAATGTCTTCGGGTACACTGTGGCCACAAATCCAACCAGTGTGCAGGAGGCGTGCCAGCTCGGGAGCCGTGGAGTAGTACTTGCAAGGGAGAAAACGCGCGTACTTACTCAATTGGTCCACCATCGTGAGGATGCCGTCGTGCCCGAGCCGGTCGCGAGGGAACGGACCGGTGACGTCCATGGCAATGGAGAGACCGGATTCCCATGGGATAGGCATCGGGTGTAACTCGCCATAAGGATTGCGGTTGCGGGGCTTGCTGCATCGGCAAACTTCGCAAGAGTCGCAATACCGAGTGACATCGGTAATGAGGTCGGGCCATCGGAATCGCTGTTGAAGCTGTGCAATAGTGCGGTTGACTCCGAAATGGCCGGCGAGTCGTGAATCATGGTACTCGCCGAGGAGGCGAGTCCGAAGACGACGGTCGCATGGGACACATAGTAAGTCCTTGCCTCTCGAGTGGAGGAGCAAGTACCCGTCGGCAATGCGGTAATGGCTGGCCGGCGGGTGATCCGAAGATAGCTGTGCATAGAGCGTGCCGAAGTCCGGATCAGACTGATATGCGCGGATGAAGTGTCGCTGAAGCTCCTCATCGAATGTGAAGGCATGATATGACATAGCGCAAAGATCAGGTCTTCACGAGAGTGCATCTGCTGCGCGATTGGAGAGGCCGGGGACATGTTTCGGTGTGAAGTCAAATCGGTCGATGAAGTACATCCATCGTCCGATCGTGCTGCTCACCGTGTCCTGCGTCTTGTAGTAGGTGAATGGATTGTTGTCTGTGACCCATGTGAACCTACGACGCCCAAGGAGGAAGTGCCGCCAGCGCTTGAGAGCCATCACGAATGCGAGCAGCTCCTTCTTCCTTGCATCATCAAGCGAGTTGATGGGAGGCACTTTGTGGCTGAAATACTCCACAGGGTGCCGGTCGTCGCCGTCGTGCTGTTCCAAGACTGCCCCAATGCCATAGCCGGAAGCGTCGTAGTCACTCGCGTCGGCAGGGTGGGGCCATAGATGCTAAGGACGGGTGCCATGAGCATAGCCGTCTTAAGTGCTTGGAATGAGCGGCGTGCGTCGTCATCGAATACGAATGGCACCTTTGGCGACTGTAACCTCGTCATAGGTGTAGCAATCCTGGAGTATCCGGTGATGAATCGCTAATAATAGCCTGCCAACCCCATGAATGAACGAACGTCCGTGGTGTTGGTGGGCTCTGGCCATACTCATAGGGCCTCAATCTTGTCTGCAAGCGGACGGATGCCTTGCGGCGTCACATAGTGTCGCAAGTACTCCAGCTCCTGCTGTGCGAACTCGCACTTGTCGCGGTTTGCTTTGTACTTGGCCTGTCGTAGCCGCTCCAAAATGGTGCGCAGGTGTTCCACATGCTTGTCCAGACTCCGGTTGTAAACCAGAATGTCGTCGAGGTAGATAAGTACGAAACGATCCAGCATGTGTCGGARCTCCGTCGTCATAGCCGCTTGGAAAGTGGCTGGGGCATTCGTAAGGCCAAATGGCATGCCCAGCCATTCGAAATGTCCATACCGTGTCTTGAACGCGGTCTTGTAGCGATCCTCCTTGCGAATCTCGAGTCGGTGGTACCCTGACTTGAGATCCAGCTTAGAGAAGAACTGGGCGCCGCCCAATCGCTCGAGAAGGTCGTCGATGCGTGGGAGAGGGCCGGCGTTCCTGATCGTCTGCGCGTTGAGCTTGCGATAATCGATGCACAACCGCAGGTCCTTGTTCTTCTTCCGGATGAAGAGAACAGGAGCACCGTATGGCGATGAGCTAGGCCGAATCCATCCTTTCTCCAGAAACGTCGTCGAGTTGTGCCCGAAGCACACTTGACTCTTCCTCGCTCATTCAGTAGATGCAACCGCGCGGAGGTACGGCCCCGTCCTCGAGGATGATCTCGTGGCGGATGGGTCAATCCGGTACTACTCCGTGCGGGCCTTCGAACACGTCGCTATAGGCGTCGAGAAGCTCGGTGATGCGTGGATCCGAAGGTGAGTCCGTCGATGAAGCGTCATGGGGCGGGAGGGCATGGAGAAAACACACCCCCATCTCCTCGATGTCGTCTCTGATGATGGACGCTCGCATGCTTGCGGCGGATACCACGTGGCAGCTGATCGAAGGATGAGGAAGGGGCACCATGCATGAAACTAATACTCCGTTCCGTCACGAATGTGAACGGTGCATTTGAAGAAGTTCACCGGGTGATCCTCGCTTTGCAGCCATGACATGCCCAAGATCATGTCAAATTTGGTGTTCAGAATGTCAAAGGACACCGCCTCACTTGCGTGAGGGGTAAAGTACACTGGGACGGCGTCAATGCACCGGTCGATGGACTTGTGCGTATGACCGTCTGCTAGAGTGACTTGCGTAGGCTGGGACTTCCTCTGGACACGTGGGCCAAGACCGGCGCGTACCATGAAGTCCTGGCTGATGTAGTTGCGAGATGCTCCGCAATCGATCAAGGCACTGCAGGTCGCCTCTCCGATCTGAATGCGTATGTATAGCAATGGTGCGCCGATGTCGTCGTACCGTTGCGTCTTGAACTCGCGGTCGATCTTTGCGATGTACGCGAGAAGGTCGACAACCTCTGCTTCGGCGTCCATCAACGGAGCTGGTACTGCAGTGTGCAAGTAGTCCCGCAATTGTGCCATGAGCACATTGCAATGCGGTTTCGGCAATCGTCCGGTCGAGGGAACGGGCATCCACTGGAAGTCCGTGAACGTCAACGGGTCGAGCTCATCAAGTCTTGACCATGACGTCGAATCCCCGACGATAGATTGCGGCGAAGCTGCCGAATTGGTTGCCGATGGTGATGAAACCGTGCATGCGGTGGACTGTTGCACGTAGAGCGGTTGGTCCAGCGGTGGAACCAAGTGGACAGCATAATCCTCGTAAGTATACCGAGGACTTGCGACATTCGCATCCTCCCCAGATGTGCAGGAGGCCGCTAGCAAGGCGGCCGAATCTGGCGGAGTGGAAGGTGGAGTCGCCTCACCTTCCACGAAGCTCAGTTTCCCGAGCTGAGGCGGGGTCGCACATCCTCCTTGCCCTGATCCTGGCACAGGGAGGTCTTGTGCTTGGTGTTGTTGCACCAATAGCAGTTGCCGTAGCGGCCGCGGACTTTGTATTCCGCCTCGGTCGAGCCAAACTTGACCCATGGAAACTGTCCTGGCTGTCCATTTCCAGCCTGCGATGCGGATTTCGCCTTCCCGTTGTTGCGGGACTTTTTTGGTGCTTCGCGGCTCGACAGCGGCCACCTGATCTCCGTCACTTGATGCTGGAGTGGCTGCTGGGTTATCCCCACTGTCCTGCTGGGCTGCAGCGAAGTGTTGCTGTCACGGACCAGTTCGTGCCTTCTCCACATAGGTCGGCTGCCATGATGTTGATTTCTCGTGTGCAGCTGACCTGTTGGTCTTGATGATCTCTCGCGCCTTGTCAATAATCTGGGCGAAGGTGGCGTACTACTCGCGATCACCAAGAGCCTGGCTTAATGCAGCACATGACCTGTTGTAGAACTCACGCCTGAGATGAGTGAAAGGCAGGTCCAGATTGGGCACTGCTGCAATCTTCTACCACTCTGTGAGCCAATCCCGTGTTGCAGTGTTGCCCTGTGACATGGTGAACAAACGGTTGATGGCGAGTGTCGGCGCGTCGTCGACGATGAACCGCTTCTTCCACAGCCGTGTCAGTTCTTCCCATGTGATCTTGTCCTTGAGGTCCGGTACGTCGACGTCGTGGGAGGTTGCCAGGTGGGTCAACCAGGTCTGGCATCCGCCCTTTGAGTTCAGGAACAGGGCGCCGATGTACTTGTGCTTAGCGACAGGCAGAATCCTGAGTTGCGTCGTGAATGCCTCCCACCAGAGGGTCGGATCCTGCTGCATGTAGTCATCGAACTTTTCCAGTTGGAAACTTGACATCTTCTGATTGCCATCTGCGTTCGTCGACTGCAGCTGTTGGACCTCGGTCTTCAAGGTATGCAGCTGAGTGTTGATGGTGGATGGCGCAGTGAAGGTGTTAATGTCGCCGAGCATTGCCAGGATGTGGTCAACGCGTTCCTCCAGTTGGCGGCTAGAGGGTGCACTGCTGGCCCCAGCAGTTGGTCCTGGTACAGCCTGTTCCAGGTCCAGCAATCGGGCATTGAGTGCCCGAGTTGCATCCTCGTGGCTCTGCACTGTGAGGCGGAGCGTCGCCAACTCCTGATGCTGTTGCGTCAGGTCGTGGTACTGTCTCTCCAACTCTGACCGTTGGTAGTTGCAAGCATACAGCAACTGTGTCACGAGTTTGGAGAGGAGTTCCTTATGCTGCTCTTCCGGTGTTGCCTCGTCGCCGTTTGGTTCAAAATGCCAGAACTTGAGTCTGTCGATGCTTGTGGTTTCATGCCGCTGTAGCAGATCCTGGGCTTCCTTGCGGCGAGCCTGGGAATCTGCGTCTGCATCGGCCTGTAGCCGCAGCTTCTTTGCTGCTGCTGCCTCTTCAGCCTGTACGCGGGCAGCCTCGACTGCCAGCAGGCGTTGTTCCTCAGCCTCTATCTGAGCCAGGCAACGCTGCTTGTAGGCGGCAATGGTCTCATTGGCCAGTTGGCCTGGCAGGCCTGTCATGTTGCTGACGTGGCACTGCTGATTACGTGGCACTGCTGATGTGGCACTGTTGATGTGGCACTGCTGACGTGGCACTGCTGACGTGGCACTGTGTCGGACATCACTGCTGACGTGGCACTGTGTATGACGTGGCACTGCTGTCGTGGCACTATGTCTAACGTGGCAATGTGACCTGGCACTGCTGACGTGGCACTGCTGATCTGGCACTGTGACGTGGCCCTGCTGATCTGGCACTGTGACGTGGCACTGCTGACGTGGCACTGTGACTTGGCACAGTGACGTGGCACTGCTGATCTGGCACTATGACGTGGCACTGTAGCGAAACGGGATGCATGCAAGGGGTAGGTGGGAGTGAAAATGTAGGTAGGTAACCAACCCAACAAGACTTTTCCTCCGGCCCTAATCAACAGATCAAATAAAAAATAAAAAATAAAAGAGGACTACTTCCCTTTTTTTTTTATATATATATCTGACGATCTATGATGAGTAGGATATCTCAGAAGAGTATTATGAACGAGATCTAGGCTAGGTTCCGCAAAGTTTCGGCTTTTACAACTGCGATCTTGAAAAAAAATTTGCGAAATGGAGTAAAGATGCGATTTTCAGAAAAGAACGAAATCCAGTTTCTGAGAATATAGCAACCTCCGAATATGCCTAACGCAATATTGGTAGGCTTCGCAAGATTCGGTTTTCAAAAAAAAAAAAATTTGCGAGATAGAATGAAAATGCGATTTTCAGAAAAGAATAATTTTAGTTTCCGAGAATATGACCATTTCTATCGTTATCCCAATATACCGAGAGAACAAAAATACTAACTTCAGAAATTTCAGCTATGTATGCGAAATATCAGAGAAACGAATTGCTACTATCGGGAATTTTCAGACAAAACGAGATGCGATTTATCAGAAATTTTTAGATATTTGTCCCGTAAAAACGAACTACTAATATCAAAAATTTTCAGATAGAACGAAAATGCGAATATCATAAATTTCAGATAGTTGTTGCGAGAAAAACAATTTCAGAGATTTGACTAAGTCCTACTTGCGTGACTAATGAGTGATCAATAGATCGCAAGCTGGCTACTTGATTGAGCGGGTCCTCTGAATGAGAGGTCCGCTCTGATATCAAACTGTTGCATACTGTAACGTGCAGACCAGAACAAGAACCGACCTTTCAATACAAAGTACAGGATAACACATCGGAAGACTTAGATACCAGTGATCCGAACAATCAATGTTGTAATGCAGCCYTGAACATACATCATCATCATCGTTGCAAGGTGTGAATGGGTCTGGCGCTTCACACAGGAAGACAGCGCCAGCCCATACCATACACAGACGAAGAGGAGGGGGAAGATGGGAATGTCGTCAACACCAAGTCTTCGGCACGAGCCCAAATAGTCCCTCGTCGGAATGTCTGAATCCCAAATGTCAAGTCTGGATCCAATGTCGTCCAGTCTCAAGTCACAACTCTGTCTCTCTCTGTCGTAGTCTGAGAAGTCAGGTGGCGAGACGGTGAGAAGAGAAGGTGGACTTAGAAGAGGAAGAAGAAGAACTCTCTCTCTCTCTGTGTCCAGTACTAACCTGTGAAGTTGGCGCCTTGATGCAGGTACCACGAAGATGGAGCTGGAGCGATGGCGCCACAGGTAAGTAACACTGGCCTCCGCCAGTCTCTCTTCCACTCTACGATCTACCACCTNGTCCAGTACTAACCTGTGAAGTTGGCGCCTTGATGCAGGTACCACGAAGATGGAGCTGGAGCGATGGCGCCACAGGTAAGTACCACTGGCCTCCGCCAGTCTCTCTCCCACTCTACCATCTACCACCTACCAGCGCCCAGCGCTGAAGACTACAGCTATAGCTATGGCGCCCAGCGCCGAAGACTATAGCTAGCGCTACCACTACTGCCTAGCGCTGAAGACTACTGCAGCGCTCCTCCTGAGTGTTGCGACCGATATCCTGAAGACTACCTCGTGCCTACTGAACTACCTACCCGTGAAGTGCATGGGAACTTCCTATGTACTACGGGTGTGCCTCCTGAGCCTGCCGACGGGAGGCAGGGGCTGCAACTGCAGCTCCTGCTCGTGAGGAACAGGCTATTTCTGGCCTGTTCCGCATCCCTGTTTACGTGCCTGAGTCTTAGGGGCAGGTCGAAACAATGAGGGCCTGAAAATGGCCCTCCGTTTCAGGCTGAAAACTCTGGGTCTGAAAAGACCCAAAAATAGGCTGAAACGGGGTAGGGCCTGCAGGCCCTCGTTTTTCAGCATCCAGGCTGAAACGAACGGGGCCTGTAAGCCCTAAGTTTTAGGCTTTTAGGCTGAATGTCCGGGACGAGCCCTGCAGGGCCCGTGTGGCTACGCAGTATGCCACATATAGACTGGGGCAACTGGTTAAAAAAAAGAAAGAAAAAAAAAAGGAAACCATCGACGAGCGGATCAAATCGAACGTGCAGGGCGTGCCGGTTGGTATGAAAATTTTGGGGGCCCATCAGGACTGAAGAGGCGACTCCTTTCCTTTGTCATATAGGATTTCATATGTTTACTATGGGACATTGGACCCGGTTTCCAGCAGGTGCCGCTCCCGAGCAGTAGACTGGAGTCATTGGGGGGGGGGAAAAGACAAAAAAAACGGTAGGATATGTCGGTGGGCGCCAGCTTGCCTTGCCTAGGTACTCCTGTGGGGTAGACTCTCTGATATTAGGCCTGTAGAAGATTGTACGAGCCTGGCGTCCGAAGTTGCCGTACGGCAAGGTTCGTACGCTTCCACTTAATAAACTAGGGCTGAGGGGTTCCCAAGCCTTGGTGCTTGTCACTGCTGTCTGTTCCAGGTTGCCCTGGATATTGATGGTCCTCGGACCCTTGGACATCTTGGTGTCCGCCTGGTCGTCTCGTCTAGGTGATGGTGGATTTCCCATCGGGCACATCAGGAGACGGTACGTTGGTGTGAGGTGCCTATCTTTTGGATCTGACGGTGCGTTCAGGAAATGGAGTTGGTAGGGGAGCTACAACGGGGGACGAATGGCTAAGAACCTTGGAGAAGGGGTGCAGGCGGTTACAGGTGATGGTGGGGGAACTGTCTTCGCGGTCAAACGAAGAGTCAGAGGTCGAAGGAGGAGCGATCTCTCTGGCTGATTGGTTGAAAGATATGACCGACGACATGCTGAATATTATCTGGATGCTGGAGGAGGGGATGGATCCCAAGCTCGAATTTTGCATCGATTGGAGGAAGGTTGATGGCATGATGTCTGTAGCGGACCTCTGGTTGGCCTGTGAGACCAGCCCCTTGGCCTGTTCTCACAGGCCTGTGTTCTATTCGGGGGCAGTCCTGTTCAGTCCAGTCCAGGCCGGTACCTCTGTCGGTACCAGCAAGTCCTGTCCAGTCCGGTCTGTTTTCATTCTCATTCTTCACGTGTACATTTTGGAGTACGTGCGTTGGAGTTTTGCGTGGGGAGCTGCGTTGTGCCATCTCGCTCCCCCCTTCTTCCTCCATCTCCATCTCTACCACTAGCGGAGCACCACATCTGGTGGGTCCGCTACATTGGTATCAGAGCGGGAACGGTCCCCGCTCCCACCCGCCACCCCGCACACAGGGGAAAACAGCAAATTCCGACAGCGGGATTTTTCGCTGTTTTTTGGCTGTTTCCCACGGAAAGGAGAGGAAAAAAGGCGCAGCAGCAGGAGGGCTCCACGTGGCAAAAAAGGAAGTGACATCGCGACGGCGAAAAAGGAGCACGACGCGTGCGCGCAAACACCAAGGCCAAGGCCGCCGCCACATCACGCACGCGCCACGTGCCCACGCTGCCCCGCTGCCCCGCCCCGCCCCGCCCCACTCCGCTCCCAGATATATCAAGATCCGGGATGCAGCTGCTGCCGCTGGGGTTTGAACCGAGGTGCCTGCCAGGCCATGCGCGTGCGTAAGCAGCCTCATAACACACTCGTCACGGAGTGTCTATGGCCTTGTAGCACGGCACACTCG